ATCCATGTTTTCCTATTTAATAAAATTGATATTTTGCTATGTAATAAAATCCATATTTTCCTATTTAATAAAATCCATATTTTCCTATTTAATAAAATCCATATTTTGAGGTTTCATAAAATCCATACTTTTGTTTACAATAAAATGCATAGTATAATTTCTAACAACATCCACATTTTGCTATTTAATAAAACTCAACAAAAATCAAATTTGTCTTTCCAATAGAGTTCCATATCATGCTTTCGAATAAAATCCATATCTTGATTCCCAATACGGTTCGTATTTTACGCGTGTTCTTTTTCCTTTTCTCTCTTTTTTTTCCATTCAGCGTTCAGAACATTTACAAGATGAAATATGTTTCGCCTCGAAAAAGAGGTCCACGGTTTCTAATGCATTTTTGTTCTCCCCTATTCATCCCGGTACGCCTTCAATCTCGCCCCACGGCAAGACAAAAATGGCCTGCCATCGGCAACCATCTTGCCACAATCTCGCAGTACACTACACGTCAATTCCCGCGGGAATCTTCAATCCTTTCCGAAACAAGTCGAGCAAGTTAGAAAATCTTTATTACTCTTGAAAAAGAAAAACCGCGTCCGTTGCCCGGGAGTTTTCCACCGCGGATATTATACCGGCGACAAAAAATATTAAAAATATATCCCCGGTGCGCACAATGCACCGGGCGTTTTAATATTGTTAATGTGATCTTCGTTTCGGATAAAAAAAATCCGGACAAAAAGCCGTGAGATTAATTGATGCGTGCAGACAACACAGTTCCTTCCTGTTCGAATCATTTTGAAAAACTGTCTTTATAATAAGAATATCTTCAAATTTTATCAAAAATGTTTTTTTTATATTTATTCATTCATGTATATTTATATACATATATTATATATGTCTGTATATATAATAATATAATAATATATATTAATATACAGGGTGCTCCACAATTATTTTAACAGTCGAAAATGAGGGGTAACTGAGGTCATTTGAAGTAACTTTTTCCTTTGCGAAAATGCAATCTGCGGCTTTGTTTACGAGTTATTAACGGAAAACACTGACCAGCACGAGGCTTTGACAGATGGTCAGGACGGACTCGAGCCGCGTTCGAAGTATTCAACAAATCACGAAGCGAGCACTTTCCGGATTCTTCACTGTACACCTTGTATTGTATAATATAATAAATATTTGTAAATATTAAATAATAAAAAATAATATAAACATTATATTATATAATAAAATCATATAATATACCATGCATAATACATGTATCAATATATAATAATATATGTATATTATATTATATAGTAAA